TTTAAAAATTCATTTTCGGCATAAAATATAGTTTTCTTCAAATTAAGCAGATCCTTACCACATTAAAAAATATGTGCTTAATAGCTAATGACTTTTTTATTTAAGAAAATCCTATCGAAAACCCTACAATTAAATAAAAGTATGGGAAAATAAATTCTGTAGTTAGGCATGTTTGAAGCTTTTATTACACTTTCCATGTTCAAAATTATGAATATAAGCTATTACAAATTGTAAAAACTTCAGCGTATGTACCACACATACACCCCTATTTTCTCAAACGGATATAAACAAATGTTTAAATAGTAACATTTTTCAAATCGTTCTGGGGACCCTGATGGCTTAAAACTAATAATAATTATGAGCTGGCTGTGATCAGCTGTGATTGTGGAACTCAATTCGACATCTAAGTTAATTATGTACTTAACCCATTATAATAATAAACATAGTAAAAATAAATACCAAATTGGAAGCAAATATAAAATGAAATAAATCCAAATCCATCTAATGGCTAATCACAGCTAAATAAGCAAACAATTTGCCAACACATTCGTGAACACATGTTTAAGGACTTAGCGGGAACTACAAACGGATCACACTTGTGTTTGGATGGTCGCGCCTATCATAAAATTCGGTGCGCGAAGTTTCGAACGAAAAACAATCAATTCCCTGAATTTATTACCAAAATTGACAATCAACAGTGTCTTGTTCCTATTCTTCCAATGCAACACAAGACGATGAGACACCAGCACAAGATGGCACGGGATCTTTATGGCCTTGTAAATGGTCTACAAATTGACCTGTCAGCGGTCATTTAGGGAAAATAACTGGCCTGGTACTACTTATATTCTACCTGTCCTAACCTCTACCTGTCCGCTCGTTCTTGAGGGTTGTGAGCATGGCAGGCCTGTTTGTTTATTTGTGTGCGTGCCTGTGTCAACACACATGATCACGCACCTGATTATCACCTGCAGGCCATGGAAAATTTGAGCACCATACAAGTTGCAGAGGAGAGTGCAAATGCCCACTCAAACGCTCTCACATATTGCACCTATGTACATATGTATGTATGGTACGAGTATATGTAAATATGTACATGTGTATTATCACATTTGTGTATATGCTTGCACTTCCTGCGTGTGGTTGGTGGTGCCTGTTGCAGGGTGCTGAGTGCGGGGTGCGAAATGAGTGTGGTGTCGTGTCGTGTGCGGGGTGTCCTTTGCCTCATGCACATGTGAGTGTGTGTTTCCCAACCTACTGCGCATTTATTTGCATGCCGCTCCGTCAGTTTGTGCCAAACACTCGACGAGGACGCGCTTTGATCGCAACAATCTCGATTCTGTTCCCTTTGTTTGCTTTGTTCCCAAACGATCCCATTGCCCAGCCTAAAGGTGCGTGTGTGTCTGCGTCCCTGACATAACCGATACGTGTGGAATATTGTACAACAATTAAAATTGTGACGCGCATATTAAAATATATCTACGCATTTTGTGTGCTTGCAGAAAACATCAAACGGGTGCGATATGCGGCAATACGCATATTTAACGAAATTACAAAATATATGATATTCAAATGTGAACTGAAAAACTATTCTGTACATCAGAACAGAGCTTGTCAAATTAGAGAGTGAGAGAGAGGATCAAGGATATTCTTCGAAAAGACCTACATTATTATTTTTAATGGTATGTAAAAGATGTTGTGAGCAAAGCTATAAGAAATACCTTCACGAAAAAATAAAAACGAAATGTTTCTCTATTCAATTATTTAATTTATATAAAGAAAATTTGAATAAAAAAAATGTAACGTCTAATGCAAAAAGGAACAGTGGCATAATTAATATTTGTATCTAGGCGATTTAAATAAAGCTTCGAAGAGTCGAATTTGAATGATCATTTGCTAAACATAAAATTTGAAAAATAACATTGAATTACTTGTAGAGTTCATAAGTTCATAAATAATGAATTGAAAAATCAAAATCAAACTAAAAGTATTACGGCAGTTGCGAGAAAATATCTCTTTTCGAACTTCAAAAAACCAGCACAACATTGTCGTTGTTCCTGCTATAATATTTGCAAGATCTCGGCATATATGCAGGCTGACGGATAGGCCGAAATGTGGCTGTTTAAAAAATATAAATATCTGTATGCTCCCATTTTTACCCTTCAGATATAGGGTTAAAAAAACAATTGGAAGTCAAAAGCGGTGAATTTTATAACTTCATTCTTCTTTGTAACGAAAAGTTTTCTGCATCACACTTGTGGACCGTTTAAAAAAACCTGCGACCACGTATTGCTCTATATACAGGCATATTGATTTTGAGTTTCAGATTGAATGTTTTAAAGCTAAAGAATGACGGGTTAAAGCAGTACACAGGCACATATGTAGAAACATCGCCCGATAGTGAACAAATGCATTTGACTATATTTAGGGAGAATCTGGATGCAAATATGCATTTTCACATGTTCTTATTCCCACTTTATACAATATTATGAAATCATCTTCTAGAAAGCCTAAATACGAATGAGTCTGTTGTTTATCATCACATTTTTGGACTGAAAGGTTTAGAGTTATGTATGTCAGAAGAGAATAATATCATTTATTTTGATAACATTCGCTTATAATGTAAGGGTATACATATATATTTTTTGGTGTGTGCATTTGTAATGCATAGAACGAAGCTCTTCTCCTCCCACAGTTTTAAGGTAATACTTTTGACGGGCACAGATAATATGCCGAGACCGACCAGCATATAGTCATAGAAAGGATAGAGCTTAGGAAGAAGTTTAATATGAATAAGTTTTTGTTTACAAATGGTCATTTAATGTAGGAACAAAATTGTTGTTGAAATATGGTAAAGCCAGTAAAACATATTTCATGAAGATTACTTCTTAGCTGGTTTACATTTAATATAGAATGAAGGATATAAAATAAATGTCTGACAAACAATTAGCATTTCTAAAAGCTTCGGTACACCTTGGAATAGTGGATCTTCATAACAATAAAGATTTCCTTGTTGTAGCCTTTTCAAGACAACTATATTACATACTGCATATAATGTGCTTTAGGAAATTGAAATATATGGACGATAAATATGTTTCAGAATATACGAAAATTATCTGAGAATATTATTTAAAAATACCTAAATTCGCCACCGCTTTGGTAGCTGCTCGCCCAAATATATGTTGAAAGAACTCTTATGATTAGGAGTGAGAGCAAATAAATATAGGCTGTCAGGTATGGGTCAGAGCTTGGAGCAAAGGTGGAAAGAGTCTGATTAAAGTCTCTGGTTTCAAATCCAAACTTAACTAAAATCCGTCAAGAGCTCAAACAGCGCTCGCTTTAAGACTATTGCAACAGACGACTGACTTACTTTTCAATTAATTAAAAAACTAAAGTGGCTTCCAGTTCTGTTCGCCCCGTCCCCTATAACTCACGAGACACATGGAATACAGTTACTGCACTTTCTGGGCTTGCTTTTACCTGTCGCCACTGAAAGTAAAATAAATAAATAAAAATGTTGCCGCAGCTGCTCGAAACCGCAAATGAGTTACAGAGAGCGAAAAATGTGGCACACGCACCAAGAAAGCTGGCAGTTCTACCGAAGATGAGGAAGAGATTGAGGCAGCGACTGTGCTAATTGCACATTGTTGCATCCAAGCGTGGGCGTCCGCGTCCACGTCCTGGAGACGCTCATGGCAGGAGCATGTGTTAATATGCGGTTTGGCACCGCTTAACTGCTCGCAACTGCCACCAGGAGTAGAAAGAAGGAGAATATGTTGATGAAACCACTGCCAAGCTCCGTTAAAAAGATGGCAAATACAAATGTTTATTTTGCTGACGCTTACTCGCTTTTTCTCGACTTGACGGGCAAAAGCAAAGTTTTTTAATTTTGCATCCTAAAGAAATGACTAGAGACTGGGTCTAGGGTGGAGGGTTAGTCGAAGTCAGGTACATACCAGTACGAATATAGAGGCAGCTGCCGACTGTTTTAAAAATTCACACACGCAGCGTGCAGCTTTGCGAAGATATAGATATAGTCGTAGAGGTGATGGGTGGGGCAGGGACAGGGGCGGGGGCAGGGACAACAAACACGGCATGCTAGACAGTCGCTGAATTAATTAGATGCCACGCACCGAAAATGTGGAAAAAAGCTTACCAGGATGCAATGGGTTGCAGGAAAGAAAATTCGAATAAAACCCAAACAAAGCCCATTTTAAACATATTTAATTAATATATTATCTTAAATGTGAAATATATAGTAAATTACCGTGTTTAGAGTGAATCATCGATTTGAATGGAATAGACATTTAGTTTGATTAATTAGTCAAAGAAAAATATTAAACGTATTTAAACTGACCATTTTATTTTCAATTGTTTGAAGCAACCAAAAAATGTGTTTGTGGAAATACTTATAGTTTATTATTTCACAAGAAATACTCTTTCGTTATTACTGTTTACGTAGGCTGCTTATTTTTTGTTGGGATATTTCATTGTCGCCCACTGTGCGCATTCTGCGACGCAGATAAACAAAGCTAAAGACAATAGACGGGCAGACGGACAGACGCCATTATCACACATCACACATCTCCATGTGATATCCTTAAGGATATGCGACACGACACGTAGCGACTGTGATTGCCAGCTCTACATGTGTCTGTGCCAGCGTCTACAGCTGTCCTTGTCTTCACATTGATTTGTGTGTGTGAGTTGAGCTTTGTTTTGTTTTCCTTCGCCAGCTGTTTAACGGGTATTCTTTGACTTTGGCACAGCGCTCTAAAATGATATATGCCTCGACTCATTAACATATTATCACACATAGCATATGTCATGAATACATTATGCCACGTATTATCCGTAAGCTTTACTCATTCGTGCCCCCCATTTTCCGCCTCTCATTGCAGACGACAAGAAATACAACAACACACTTTTGAGGCGCCACGTGACTTTTGGTTGCTTCGGCAGACACAGGCAGACACGGGCAGAGAGGACGGTAGGAAGCACGCATGTTGAAAGACACTGAGGATCTGAAAAAACGCCGCAAACTGACGTCGCTGACTCTGCCAACGCCGACGCTGCCATCGCTGCCTCCGCTGCCGCTGACGGCGCTGACGCACATGAACGACTTCGCGCGAGAGGCGGCTGCGCCTTTGCCTCTGCCTCTGCTGACCAAGCCGCTGACGCCACCGACGCATGGTGAAAACAGCAACACAGCCATGCATACAACAACGCCACCCACAACGCCACCGACGCCTCCAGCGCTGCCGCTCAACATGAGCAACCATCAGCCGCAGCAGCAATCATGTGCGCCACATATTCAATTGATCGAGAAATCGTCTACGTCCAGCCCACCTGCCACGCCCACAGCTACGACCGCAAACATTGCAACACCAGCACACCATGTTCCCCCGTCAGGCACACAGGATCATTATAGTCTGCGCTGGAACAACCACCAAAACCACATACTGCGAGCCTTCGATGCGTTGCTGCAAACCAAGACCCTGGTCGACGTCACGCTGGTGTGTGCGGAAACCTCGATACGGGCCCACAAAATGGTCCTCTCGGCCTGCTCTCCCTTCTTTCAGCGCGTCTTTGCAGAGACGCCATGCAAACATCCGGTAATAGTGCTTAAGGACTTTCGCGGCTGGGTTGTGCAGGCGATTGTGGATTTCATGTATCGTGGCGAGATCAGCGTGCCACAGGAGCGCTTACAGACACTGATCCAGGCGGGCGAGTCGCTGCAGGTTCGCGGCCTAGTCGAAAGCTCGGTACCTGAACACACGCCCACGCCGGCTGCTTCACCCGACGACTTCGGGCTTCTCGATACCTCGCTGCTGTCGTCTGAGCTTGAGCGTTGCTCCAGCTATGAGGATGAGACACCACCCTCGATGGTTACACCAGCCGGTGGCAAGCTCATGATGCCAACGCGTCTCTTCAGCACGCCAGCAAGTGCAATGGCTGCGCTGAACATGCGACGCAAGCGAGAGAGGGAGAGGGAAAGGGAGAGAGAGCACCACGAGCGCGAGCTAGAGAGTGATCAGGAGCTGGGCATGACTGGTGGAGACTTGTGCACCTCTCCAATGCCGCGTCGCAAACAGGCACGTCCACGACGGCGCTCGGGCGATGTCCCCCATGACTTTGCGCTCACAAAACCCGATGCGACGCCCCCACCTTCAGCTCCGAATTCGACAACGACAACAGCAGACAACCCAGAGCCCATGGAGTCGGCGCAACAATCTGAGTTATCGGTACTTCAGCGTGAAATGGACGCTGCACATGCCAAACAATTGGCTGCGCTGCAAACTGTGATCAAGCATGAGCTGGTAGAGCGCATGGAGCAGGACGAGCCCGAAGACGACCCGGACAATGAAGGTGGGAGTAATACAGAAAAGCAATCGAACTCAGAGCAGAACCTGGGAGAAGAAACAAGCGCCCAGCAGGGGGTGCTAGATACGCCAGACGAAAGACATGAGTCCGACGTTGATGAAGATGAAGACGACAATGATGTAACGCCATTAGATGCACCAGAGGACTTGCACAATCATCATCATGGGCAAAGCAACGACGATGATGATGAGGATGATCTGGAGCAGGAGCAGGATATCGAAGAGCTTATCAACACGACCAATGAACTGCGGCGCCAGGCAGCGGTAGCTGCAGCAAATGCTGCAGCAATGTCGCCATGCCCCTCAGATGGGCCCGAGGACTTGTGCATGACCAAAAAGGACAACAGTAGCGGAGTTAGCACTGGGAGCACTCATCAGGAGGCCACCCATTCTGATAACGAATGCAGTGCCTCAAATAATAACAACAGCAGCAAACTTCAGGACAACAATCAGCGCATTGTGCTCTCCCTTAAGGACATACGCCAGTTGAATGCGAAGCCTGGTGCCGCCTCCACGCCCACGAGTAGCGCTACAGGCCCTGGCAACGGGCTACACCCTTTCGCCCCACCCAGTCTTCGTGATCTGCGACTAGAACGTCCACCCGGACACGCTGGCCTCTCCGAAAGTCCTCCCTGCAACATGGAGGCACTTGAAGCTCAAATGCACGCAGCTGCTGCTGCAGCAGTGGCTGCAGCTAACAATGCTGACCATCCATTTCATCACATGGAACACCAGATGGATCTCTCACTGGCAGCTGCCGCTGCAGCAGCCGCCATGCATCAGAGAGACCCACGCGGCGAGCCCCGAGATCCGCGAGACTCACGAGAACAGGCGTTACAGCGTGAACATAACGCCTTTGCAAACAGTCTCCTTGGGCCCATGGGGATGCCACCTTTTGGGCCTAATGCAGGACCTCCGCTAGCCGGCAGTGGCCAAGCGCCACATGAACGATTAGAAGAAAGCATGAATCGTCTGAGCAAGGAATTCAGCAAGGAGTTCGGCAAGGAGTTCGGCAAAGAGTTTGGCAAAGACTTTGGAAAAGACTTTGGCAAGGAATTCGCACCCACGTCGCCCATGAGTCTACCTGGACATTTTGGCGGACCGGATGGGCCACATCCACCATCTCCTCTTCCCTTTCCTGGTATGTCCTCGGCGCTGACACTGACGCCGCCACATAGTGAGTAAAATCTTTTAATATTAAAGAATCTGAAAAATCAATCACTTACCCATCTCCCAACCAACCAATAATAACATCCACTCCGTAACGGATTGCCTCTTCAGTTTTTTAGGGCCCCAGTTTCTCCGCAACCTGCTTAGGTACATTGAAGTCGAAATTGTGCATCAAAACAAACGGAAGTCCTTAATAATCGCATGCAAGTCAGCTCCTTGAGTTACACGGCAACATGGTCTGCCATTGCCATTGCTTCTTTGACATTTTTTTGTGCAAGTTCGCGATGATTTCCATGTTTTCCTTTCTCCCTCCCATGGAGGGTACTCGCAACTCGCAACAACCGCTTAATAAGCTCGCGTGTCCTTTGCCGCTTTTGCCAACATTTCCCACCTCTCCTTGCTCAGCTACATGCAACATGTGGTCTGTTATACATCAAAGCGTAGCATCCTTCCTCTGTTTCTAACTGTTTGCTGGAAAAGCAACGCAAAGTCCTTAAACGCATTAAAACAGCCGTCAAGTCCTAATGCGCAGTTGAGAGGTTCTTGTTACTCGTACGGCATTCAAAAATGTTGTGTTGCCATTTCTTTGCGACCGTATGATATTGATGAAGTGAGGAATTTCTCCAAAGCCATGGTAAAGAAATAGCGGTTGCTCAATTTTAAATTTCTAATGGGGGGACTTCTTACTTACTTAGTTACTAAAGACCAGGCGTTTGCGGTACTCGTGTATATCCCCTCTTCAGCTGAAGTTTATATTAAGTTCGAGGATGAAAAAATTTCTGAATTAAATCTCTACATAAATTAAAATTATTAGTTACAGCTTTATTGCTAGAATCCTTTAGTGCGCACTTTTTACTTTAGTTACATCAATAGTATTTCACTCTAATAGTCCAGTCACTCTATTTTCAATTATTCAAATTAAATAAATAAATTTCTGAATTAAATTTCTACATAAATTAAACTTATTATTTAGAGCTTTATTGCTAGAATCCTTCAGTGAGCACTTTTTATTTTATGTACATCAATAGTATTTCACTCTAATAGTCCAGTCACTCTATTTTCAATTATTCAAAATTAATAAATAAATTTCTGAATTAAATTTCTACAAAAATTAAACTTATTAGTTACAGCTTTATTGCTACAATCCTTTAGTGCGCACTTTTTACTTTAGTTACATCAATAGTATTTCACTCTAATAGTCCAGTCACTCTAATTTCAATTATTCAAATTAAATAAATAAATTTCTGAATTAAATTTCTACATAAATTAAACTTATTAGTTACAGCTTTATTGCTAGAATCCTTCAGTAGGCACTTTTTATTTTAGTAATCCAGGCAACCTATTTTCAATTATTCGCATTAAATAAATAGTCACATTACAAGTAGACCCTTGCCGGGTCGTCCCGCCGATGTGATAACCCATAACGAAATTCGAGCCATTCTGCAAATTCATTGCTAATTAAGTCATAAAAATGTGCAGTTGCCAGCTCGTAAACTTTTTTGATATTTCAACTGCAATGTGGCAGTAGTAAGCACCAAAATTTTGACAGTTTAGTTGCATGCCGGTCATTAAATTGGTCTTAGTCTGGGGTATGAGGTATGGGTCCTAGCCAGCTCGATTTGCCATCTACTAGTATGTGGAGCTCGACTGCATTTGCGGTTGCGACACAGACGCGAGACTTGAAAGTGCAGTCGAAATAAATTCAATTGCGGTTTATATGATTTCTTATATTTATGTCAAACACAAATACAAGAACAAACAGAGGTGCAAAGAGTTCTCGGCATGCAGCGGGGCGCGGGGAACTGTCATTGCGTGCAACAAATTTATGTTGTCTCCCGACTATACGAGTATATGAACAACTCCATGTGTGTGTGTTGTGTTTGGGTTATGTGTGCAGTCTGAGTTCAACTGTCAGCAGACGTTTAGCGAAATGACTTTTAAGTTGGGAGAACTGTCAACAGTGGGTGGCACAACCAGCCAGCAACCCAGCCGCCCAGCCACCTGCCACTGCGATCGACAAAGCCAGGCCGGGCACCCCTGCCACATGTTGTGTTTAAAGTATGCCAAAACGCAAAACTTAAACCTTTTGGCAAACAACTCGGCGACGACCGCTACGCTGACGACGCTGACGACGACGACGATGGGGACGATGGGGACGACGGGGACGGTATAAATAAAAATACGTCGTCGGGCTTCCCTTTTTGCCAGCCGTATAAACTTTGCACATAAGTCGCGCGATATTCATATTAATAATATCCGTTTGGGGAGTGCAACTCCAACCAGACTGCAATCACGGACCTGGGCGTGGGGGCTCTGTCTGTGCCTGGGCATGCAAGGCGCGACGCGCACACAGGATATAAAATAAATTAAGGCACAAAAATATGAAAAATTGTACGAAAAAGGCGAAAATCCGAGGCGCTGGCAAGTGCAGGAAGTGAAATACCTCTTAATGCGACAAAAATTTCAGCCAACATATCAAAACGTGAAGCGAAACGGAGCACACCGAGCCAAAGTCTCATCGTATGCGAAAAAAATCACTAACTACTGCATAAACAGGCCGCAGGCAATGAATGCCAAGGAAAGGATATGCCAGCCGAGCAAAGAAAAATTCCAATATACTCCTTCAAAGTGATACAGACTAAAAAATACCCTTCAGTGGGAGGGATAGCGACTGATGGAAGGCATAAATGGGTTAAGCGAGACTAGAGAGCCCTCCATACGGGACTTGGCTACAAGTATAAGAAAAGTAATTTTCCTGGCAAACTAAACGTTGTCGAGCCAAGCGAAGTTGGCCTGTTGTTTTCGATAATTCAAGCTATCTTTGATATCTGTTATGACTCTTCTAGTCGGTTGTTGGCTGCAGGGTAGATTAAAGACTTAACAACAGACAACCCCTCGGTATTATGATTTATTTTTTTGGGCGTGAAAATCATTGAACTAATAGCATGTGACGTGTGTGAGTTGACAAGTGGTTGAGGGGACTGGCTGTACGTCTGTTCTAGACCCTTTACAAAATATTAAAAGAAATCCGCACTAATTTTGCATGCCCGGAAAGGCAAGAAAATACACGTTACGTATACGACACGTTGTAATGCTGGCTCCATACTTCAAAAAAGCGCCAGCAAGGCTTTTGGCAAACAATGCGCGCTCGTTATTTGTGTCATTATGCTGCAGATACGACACGCACACAAACTCTGTCCCACACACACACACCCACACACACACACAGTCAGACAAATACAAATAAATACGAGTAGTATAGAGACAGACACATTTATTCATATGCTGGCACATTGTCTTGTGCGTCTTATAGTGGATTAGGGGGATGTGGAGCCCTGAATCCGCGGCGTCTACTTACGAAATCATTCAGGAGAATGTCAATATTATGCGTTGCCACTCAGCGACGCATACACGAGAATTTTCACACAAAACCTCGGCAGCCCACCACATCTGAGTCTGAGTACGAGTACGTGCAGCTTTTTATAGTCGACTTTTCTTATCCTTCTGGCCTTTCCGTTCGCGGTCCTCATCAGGTCTTCAATTGTTTCACTCATGTGTAGAAGTGCACTTCAAGCGTAAAATATTAATGGAATAATGACGTTCTATTGTTTACTATGCAGTCAATTGGCATGGTCGGTGAATCTGTTGAGTCTGTTGCATAGGTAGGCTTTGTCTCCACTTCAGATGTGTATCTATTGTCTCGAGCGAAATCAGTGAGCTGGGAAATGAGACGCTTATGGATTCGCAACACAATTGCAATAAAGTTCATATTATGCAAGGCATATAGGCGACTGCAATAACTCTATGATGAAGTTAGTAATGTTATGAATTGGGTCGGATATTGAGATGAACTTAGTCTCCTAGTTACCTTCATCTCAGAGAACTAATTATGCTTTTTTTCGCTTTATTCACAGTGTTCGGCTTGGACTCACCCTTGGGCCTATTTCCGCCCGGCATCGATCCCGGCAAGCTGTACAATCCACTCATGGAAATGAGCGATCCACGCGACATGCCCGGCGGACCGCCACCGTTTCTGAAAAAGAAAAGTAAGTAGCAAGCAATTACAGAGGGGCGCCTAAATCGAATTTTCCAGTTGAACTTTCGCCGAGTGGCGCGCTACGTGAAAAACAAACAACTAATTAACCCTATAAAGTACGGGTGCTGCCCAAACACACTTGGCAGCTAGTCAGTTGCCATTAACAACAACAATAATAATAATGAAAAGAACAGCAACTGCAACTGAAACTGCAACTGAAACTGCAACTGAGACTGCAACAACAAGCGAAAGGCTCGACGTGGTAAATCATTTCAACATGATTGGCATGTCGACGCGACTTCGATCACGTTGCAGTTCGCCAGTCAGTTAGTCAGTTAGTCAGAGTCAGAGTCGGTGGCAAGTGAAGCAAGTAGCTTCCAGTAAGGGTCCCTAAGCCAGTGCTTGTCGCTGCCCCCTATCTCTGTCCACATCCCTTCCCCAACCCGTGCCCTGGCTATAAGACTTCACACCTGACTGATTGATCTCGTGGCTGGTTTGTGAACTCAACTGTTGAATGTTCATTGCTGTTACGCTTTTTGCTGGCTTGTACATCAGCTCACGTCTTTTGGTACGCTTGTCCGGGTTGTGCAGCACAATGTAGTCTCCGTTTCGGGGCAAGTAGGCCCTTTGTACTGTAGTAGCCATGAGTAGTTGACAGCATGCTCAGGCTAAGGTTTCGAATCGCATTGAATCGAGTCAAAAGTAATATCAGAATCAGTTGATCTGAGAACTGGGAGTATTCAGATGGCTTGCTCTTTCCCAACTCATCCACATCTGATCATTTGAGTTCAATATCCGGAGAAGCTGATCTAATGTGCTTCAGATCCCCACTGCAAGCCAATCAGACAATAATGTGTACATTTTTTGTAGTCGCTCTCATTCATGCAATATCATGTGAGGCGGCAAATTCGTTTTTGTGGTTTTCCTGTGCACTCCACTCGATCGTTCCGATCGCTTCGTCCGCCAATCGCTTGTTTGTTTGTTTCTTCAATGAGTAACATGTGCACCTATGCATATCGTAAAACATCGTCTACCACTTCACCTGCACTGCAAGCTGTTGTACGAGTAGTTGTTGCTTTTATTTTCCTTGTGATTGACAAATAGGCAGCAGCTCCATAACATAAAAAGTGTCTTGGCTCCGATCTGTTTTTGTGCCTTGCGTCTTGGCTGTGACGCAAGTGAAAACCTCAGAGAGTTAATGAAGTTTAGTGTTTTGTGGGAAATCATATTTCCATACTCGTATAATAAACAGTGTTAACCGACAAATGTGGTTCAGAGATCAATTAACTTTTGGCTTGCCAATGCATTTGATTGTCATGTGATTGACAAACAAGGGACGAGCGGGCAAAGACACATAATCGCTCGATTCTGACTTGCGTTCGTGCGTTTGAGTCGTTTGTACTGTTATGTGATCTGAACGCTCTGACGTTTTGTATGACAGCTCTTCAATAGGCCCGTGCATGTTACTGAGCCTTCCCGCATTGATGGCTTAAGTGCTTGCTACACTTTCATGAATGAATGCGTACTTGTACTCACCTCTCATATGCCCTAAGCCTTTAAATGTGTAAGGCGCCAGTCTGGCTGAGCTCCATTGGGCTTAATAGCCACATTTTAGAGTTGAATTTGCTTGGGCAAGTGAAGAGGGAGTGGCTCGACTGGCTGTCAAACATACTCACTAGCCATGGGAATCTTCCAAAAATATATTATTTCAATATATTATTATCTAGGGAAAAACTTGGAAAGTCTTACACACGTTTCAATTCATATACTCGTACAATGGGCTCGGATTCATTTAAGCCCAGGAGGAAGGATATTCATATCGAGGCGAGTCAGCTATTTAAAGGCTGCATTATAAAACAAGAAAATAAATTGTTTTCTTTCCTCTTCATTCATTTCCCATTACTTGCATGGATAAGAAACTAGCGATAAATTCAATCAAATATGTGTACCTTTACAAATAGCAGTTCGCTCGAAGTAGTTGGTTCTAATTTGTTGTAATTGACACGAGCGCCCATCCATTTATTCTAATCACTTGTATGTTGGCCCGAATTTGTCTTGAGGCACCTACTCGTAGGTGAACAGCTGCTCCAAATATTCAACTTTGCCCCACTCCTCCAACACTTTACCTCGCAGCGTTTAATTGCTTCATTTTCTCATCAAGAGCTCATCAAGCAGAGCAGGGATTTCTTTCGTATTTGCCAAAATGCCACAACAAATTTCAGAGAGCAACAACAACAACAACAGCAACAGCAACAAACAATTGCAACAATGTGTGGAGCCAGAGTCAACCGTTCATGGCAGATTTTCGCTTTTGCTCAAAGTCATCGCTATCGCACATGGCCAGATCTGGCTGTGCCCTGCCAGAGGGGGCACGAGGGAGCTCACCATGACAAACGTTGTCCAAATTGCCACAACAAACTAAACTAAACTACACAACACAACACGGAACAGCGAATAAAACTGTGCTAACAGAAAGAGCGCGAATCTGGCCTATAGCACGATATTCTTTATTGCGAATCTCAAACCCGTTCGACTCTTACTGATAAGAATCTCTCTCCGGGGGGAGGACCACGAGGGAGGTGGAGTATTTGTAGGGCTCACCGCAAATTTCGTTTAGACGCGCTCAATCGCCGGGCTCAGTAATGCTGGAGAAGGGAATTCAGAGAGGAGGAGCGGTAGAGCAGAATTGCTGAGCTGCTGAGGAGCTGGGGAGCTGAGGAGCCGAGGAGCTGAGGAGACCCATGACATGGTCGTCATGGCGCTGCATTCGTGTGGGTGTGATTAACTGATTTGTTCACATTCATTTGTTCATTTCGCGATTGTTTGGTTGTTGTTGTTGTTATTGGCTGAAACGTGAATTGCGATTTGTAACAAATTCAAATTTCTTTTATATGAACGAACACGTAGTACCTGACCGCCCGCCCGCCCTACTCTGGAGTCCTCAGAGGGGGCAATACCAGCGAGACCTTATTAGCTTTTGTAGTTTGTGTCTTCGCTGCTACGACGCGACGCGACGTTCCTTCCCCCACCAGTTGCCAGCTCTGGCAAAGCCAGCTGGGCAAAGGGTTTTAGTTAGTTGTTTGCCTGTGCCAGGCAATTCATTGCCAAAAAGGTCAGGCCCAGATTGTGACCCGCCCAATGCAAATTGTTTTGCCAATACGAAACAAATAGAAATGCGATTCTGGTGCATCATATTTATTGTGATTAAAATGAAGAATTTCCGAGATTCTCGCTCAGTTGAAATAAAGTAGGTGGACATTAGGTTACTTGAGGTGATTACAAAACGTTTGAAAAACAAATACCTTACATATAAGTATATTACAGTGGGAAGGAAAGGAATAGATCTGAGCTGAATATGCCATTGGAACTACATTGTTAACCGGCTGATGTAGTTCCACGGAAATATGTCAGTTTTATTGTTAAATATGGGTGGAATATGACTAGAGCTCTTCTCTTGAATATCATCTGTAAATAATTATTACTAAGACTTCTGGAAGAATTCGGGCTTAACAGCAATGCACCAATTTGTTTTGTAGCTAGTTCTTTGTTCGAGTTAAGGAACCACCCAACAGTTGATGCATTTGCTTCAAATAATCGCATAGAGTAAATGGGTTTCTCCTTCCGGCAAATATTACACACCTATAGTATTGCAAATTTGCAAAACTTCAAATCGTCACCTGCGAGCGAAGGAGAACATTCAAGTATCGGCAATAAACTGCAAATTGTTTTGTATGGAAATTTGTGTGCGACTCTAGGCCGAAGTCGAAGTCGGAGTCTCTGCCGATGTTGACGCCGAGGCCGCCTTCATTGTCAACGTGCGCCATGGCCGGTTTCCAACCTGAAAGGAACCTGTGGTGCTGCCTCATTGTAGTTGTATCTGTTGTTATTGTTGCTTTAGCTGTTGCTGTTGCTGTTGTAGTTGTAGGCAAGTCGATATCTGGGAATCTAAATTGAGTTTTAGCGGCGCATGTGACGGCGACGACGCCGGCGACGGCGCATAATTTGCATATGGAAGGAAGGCAGGTCTCAGCCAAAGTCATACTCATAGACGAGGCTGGAGCTGAATGGAGCTTCGGAGATTGAGGCAGAACCAGGCTGGGACGGGAACCACCACAGCGTTTTTTAGCCAAGTGATCGTAAATACGTTTTTCGGTCTTTTGCGCTTTCGAAGGTGGCACATACACATGCCAGCAACAGCAACTCACAGCAGGGTGTGTATGAGCTGAAGGCGAAGCTAGACAGGCTCAGCTCAGCTCAACTCAGCTCAACTCAGCTCAGCACAGGCCCAGACCCAGACCCCAGCTCAGGTTCGGCAAACAATGAGCAACCGACTTTCAACGAAAATTGTCTAGCATGCATTGCAATGGCAATATAGGCCACAAGATTGAAACATTAAGCGATGCGCGGCCAGAGATAACCTCGCAGTCCAGATACATGATTCCCTTCCTCATACCCCAAGATGCTGGAGACGAGCACTGAAAGAAATAGCGGACAGTGAGAAAGACATTACAAAATCCATATGAAGCATCACAGAATAGTTTTGATCAAATCTGATGATCTGGAAGGTTTTCATAGAAATAGCGGACAGTGAGAAAGACATTACAAAATCCACATGAAGCATCACAGAATAGTTTTGATAAAATCCGCTGATCTGGAAGGTTTTCAGATCGAGCTTGTTCAGTGTCATCGTCTTATCAGCTGTTGCGCCAATTTTAAGTTGATTTTTATTCAAAATCAATAAACTTTTAAGATCCCCAAAACTATTAAAAAGACATTACTGGACGAAGTAATTTTTCATAGCGGCATAGGGGACATTTTTAAGAATCCCGGGGAAGAAAACTTTTGAACAATCCTTTTTGCTCAGTGTATGCAAGCTTTCAACTCTCTGAGCTACAGGCAGACAGTTTGTTCTTGGGTCAGGTGGCGCAACGATCTCAACCGTCACAGCATTTTACTAATCATCCTATACCCTCTCTCCTGCTTGTCTACTTGCAGTGCCGCGCCCCAAAGGCCAGCATTCAGCGCCACGAGGTGGCCCGCCACGTTCCTGGACCAACACCGAGCTAACGGAAGCCCTGCAGCATGTGTGGAACAAGAAGATGACCACGTCGCAGGCATCCCGCATCTTCGGCATACCCTACAACTCGCTGCTCATGTACGTGAGGGGGAAGTACGGAAAGAGTCTGAAGCTGGAGCAGCTGCGTAAGGATTGCATCAGTGGCCCGCCCATAGAGATGCTGCAAATGGGTATCAGTGGCGGGGGCGGCAGCTCCTCCAGCAAGAGTGAGAAGAACAAGGAGCGCAAGGAACGAGATAAGGACAAGAGCGGGTCAGCTGGTGGTGGCAGCTCGGGGAACGGAGGGTCCGGCGGGGCTTCTAGTGGCAATGGTGGCCCGCCTCTTGGACATCCTTCCGAGCTTGGTCCGCTGGGACCGCTTGATCTGGAACTGGGCTTACCGCCATTGGGCCCGCCAGGTGGCCCACGCAGTGGAAGCTCGGAGCCCGATCTCCTGGGCGGCCCCAATTCGCTTTTCAATCCATTCAATCCGCAAGGGTTCTATCCGGACTTTTCTGGCGGCTTTCCTGGCCTCCCCTTAAGCATGCTCAACCTGTTGCCGCCGGCCGAGCGCCATCACGCAGCCGCTGCTATGCACCATCTAGGCGTGAGCATGGATGAGGACTGCAAATCGGTGGGATCCAAGCAGTCCTCGTCTCTGGACGATGACTTTGCCGGCGCTGGCGTGGGTCTACCCCTGTCCCTGAGAGGCGGAAGTGGCGAGGAGCAGCGACTGGGGGCCAGCATGGGGAATGGCAATGGTCAGGGAGCAGCCTTGCCACAAGCAAACGGCAGTGCGGTGCAGGATTGAAACTTGTGGCGGGATTGGGCCGCCAACCCAATGTTTTTCCCGCCGCACGATGTGCCCGCGCCCTACGACATGGAGGAGCCGCCATCGCGCCTTGGCCATACAGCGCACTCTCCTCCCCATTCCCATGCCCATACTCATCTGCACCCGTACAGGGAGTTCAACCAGAGCTTGTATATGGCGCGTCGCAAGCTGAAGCGCTACAGGGCCAAACGGCCGCCAGGACATCAGCATCAACATCATCAACAGCAACAAAACCAACACAAACACCAAGAGCGATTGCAGGATCTGCTGGCGCCACTTCCATTGCCACTGCCGACGCTTCCGCTTCCCCCGGCGCCGCCGTCGTTGCCCCTGCCCATGGCCTAAGATCCCTGGACTAGCTTATAGTAAGCTGAGCGTTTATCCAACTGTGAAAAATCGATGTGAACCTTAATGCAATATACAATATGTTTTTAATCCTTGCAATTAATTTAGTTCGTACCAAGACGACAATATTTCATTTACAACGATTGCGATTTACTACACGTATGTCTAATTTTTTATCATTCCACTTAAATTTATTTCTCACCTACACATATATGTATGTATGCACGTACATTGTATGTATGTAGGTAGATTGTGCTGGTGCTTTTAGTTCCTATTCCAAGGTATGTTTTTTGTTTAGTTTTTAAAGCCCCTAAATTATTTAAGCTAAGTAATTGAATATGACAAAGCTTACAAAGCATGTGAGGCAATATTTTACAAGTACTTATTATTAATGTTTGGTTTCTCATCAGAACTAAATAATCAAAACCGTAACTACGTTAAGAGTAAATGTAAATGTAAATATAATTAGAAATATAGATATACATAGACATAGGCTTTAAAGAATTAACCAAACCAACAAACGGGCGGACTAGAGACGGCCATCCATGTTGTGAGAAAAATGAAAATTTCAAATCTTAGAATTTGTATTAAATCGAAGCATTGAGCTATAATGTACTTAGTAGTATTGACGATGACTGTACCAAAATTTGTAATGTTACGAGATAAGCGGCAATTAGTTTTACACCTGTAGCATAAGTAGCCGACAATTCGTATTTGTATAAACTGTATTTATTGAAGAAAACGCGCACCCATTTAAATAAATCGTAGCAACGCACACGCCCACATGGGCGGACGAGCATTGTTTTACAAATGCAGGTAGTGTCGTAAGTGGTCCGTTTACATTTAAAATTTGTAAAAATCAAAGATCTTAACTCATTTCCCTGCGCATAATTCGGATTAATCGAAAACGATGTTGTATAAGCTCAATAAGACAAAAACATATTTTAATATTCATATTCTCAATTGAAACCTTCAATTAGAAACTTGCGCAACATGCTAATGTAATATTATTAGTGTAGATATAATGTCTAAGTGTAAACGTAAATTAAATATAAACAAGCATAAATACATAGTAAAAGTTATTAAATAAAAAGTTAAATGCAATTATTCATTAAATCTGTTGTTCTGTCCTTCGAACCATTAACGCATTTCGGAACCACTTCCACATTTCTTGATTCTCTCTACGTGTTTGTACGAAGGCGGCCCTCAAAGTCTGGGCACACCAATCAGTACTCGATTTTGTTGTATCTGAACAACTTTCTTTTCAGCTAAAGAGGATTAGGTTAAGAAATATTCTTTAAAAAAAAGATTTAATAATTTTTCTCTCAACAAATTAATTAATTTGAAATAGAAAAAGGAAGCCAATAATGCAATTGTTAAAAGAAACTGTTTGATTCAGTATCACATTTAAACGTTCATTCAAACTGAAACAAAGAAATCAAACAACTATCACAGATGAAATCGTAGAAAAAAAAAGCTGGCGATTGCTTCAGGACTCTATACCACTTGTTAATACTGTTTCGACTTAAAAGATTTCTGATTTCTCGTATGCTATATGCTATCTTTACCACAAGCGTGTGTTTTTAGATAGATATATAATACAGGATCTAACTAACGATAGAGTAAATTAAAGTTTACAAACGTATTTTAAAGGCCAGTTTTGCTTCTCCATGTGCTATACGTACCATATTCTTTTCTTCATATCAAATTTTGTCCATGCATTTAGTTGCTAATAAATAGAAATAACAGTATACGCTTCGTGGTTTGGGAGGGGGGTGTAGTAGGAGGAAGGGGAAAAGGACGAATATACGACAAAAAACTATACATAGACATAAAACAGGCCGACAGCCATTGATTTTTATATTTAAAACAAGAAAGTAATGCTAGAATCGATTAGACGTATGCATCTTTTAAATCCAGCGCGCTTAAATGCTGCAGAAACGTATTTACTCCCCTTAAAGTGCATTTATATGTATATTCGGTATACTATCAAATACAGGGGAAATGGGGGAGTATACGAGTTCAAAGAAGGTACGCAATAGTCTGAAATTTAGTAATTTCCTTGTATCGTAATAATATACAATTACAATTTTCTCTTCTTCTTCAAATATAATACAGTATCCTTCAAATCGATCTTGATACTGATGGCCATCAGAATCAGCTGTCGCGTCCGCCTCTACACTTACTTTTGAATCAACAGTCCAAAGAGTTACGACCTCGGCTGAAATGGGTTTCCTTCGATTGCTTTTGTCTATCACTTCGACAGAGACTTTATAGCAGAGGAATTAATGCTTTATTGAAACATGAACTAGTCCGCTGGCAAAACACAAATTGGTCTCATAAGGGTAAAATACACAATTCGAACAGTAAAACAATCAACATGAAAACTAATAGCTCTCGAATCTGTACACTTTGTTTCTTTAGTAATTTATTGCTAAAAGACTAACAAGCACAACGTTAACAATATTGGTTTGATGGAAGTACTAAATTGAATTATTCACGATTCAATGCCAGATTAACTTTAAACACTTGTATTATCGAGAGTCGAACAGATTACTCTAAGAGAGCTCATCTGGTAAGTACCTGGTATTTGAAAATGATGTTATCTGTTTTCATTCTAACTGGAATGTTACCATTCCACAAAATGTTACCATTCCATTTAAAATTCTATTACCTGAAATTTTGGACTTTTTGTGCGCAGTAAATTTTTCTGTTTTGCCTTCTCACTCAGTTAACCACAGGTGGCGGATTTGGTACCAACAACTTCCTATTTGAGCGATAGGTGGCGGACGCGTAACTTAGCTCATACACAAACCGATATTCCAAGCTCATGCGGATACTTTGCCCAAAGAAAAGCTGATGTCTATAGTTATGTAGCAATCAGCTTTAAGTGGGATGAAAGCAGCCGTTTGAAATGCATCATGTGTCTCTTTCTTATAACTTACAATTCTATTTCTATCTAAGTTTATTACTATTTTTAACAATATTCAATATTGAATAATGCATGTATTTATTATTTTTATCTTTCCAATAATTTCTCTAAATGCATTTAAAGTGACAGCTAATCTTTTGTTTGCGAACTGTGGCCTATATTTTGCCGTGAGCTTGGGTTTTTTTTTCGGGATTTTATTTTTTTGAATTCTTTTTCAATATTTTTAAATTATGTCTATTTTCTTCAATATGAGAATATCATTTAGTGTAGTTTCCGTTAGCCCTTAAATGGAAAGTAATAAATATTTAAACAGATTAATAGATTGGTTTGTCCACCAAACCAAACTTAAGAGAGAGATTAATTATTGTATTTTCATTATTAATCAAAATTATAATTCAGAGGCTTGAGCAACTTCTATTTGCCATTTGAATAATGTAATTTCTCCAAGAATGAATTTATTGTGAATTTATTTTGTATTAAGTGTATCAACAAATCAATTAATTGAATTCCACCTTTTACTCTTTTTATTTATTTCTTTTTCGAAAGTCTGGTCATCGGTTTAGTATGTTTAGTTTAGTACTAGTTTTAGTCGTTTATTTTCTACAAATTTTTCTAGATATTTACTCAACATTAGGCGGTTCTGCAGCTTTAGAAATTGATGTTATCGCCAATATGTTGTTATTAGAAAGGTAAATTCCGATAATGCTATATATAATATGTACTCAATTTTTTATAACCTGTACGTACTTGAGGGAAAAGGGAGTTCGCTAAGAGGAGAGCGCAGCCCACTGATCACCGGCTGCTGGGCGTAATTCCCCAAAGTATAAATATATAATATAATCAGCATGATGAGACAAATCGATCTATCCATGTCTTAGGCTAAATGACTTGATTTCTGAAACAACTCAACCCTTGTACAGAATTTCGTCAATACTGTCCCCAATTCGAAAGCTATATAAACTGCATACTTACTTCTCTAATACACCATATTTCAAATAAGTCCCAAGAAAATTTATTAGCGAAATTATTCGAACTTTTTACTTTTACTTCTGCTATGGGCCATACTACTTACTTGTATATCATTACATGACAACGCCGACAACGGAGGTGCTTGGTGCAGTGCTGGGTATAGGGTATTTGACTGTCGAGATTGCTCGAGTCTAATTTTCTCTCTTTACAATATTCGGAATAACGCTTTATTTATATAATGCTAGCCTATAATTAAAAACTTAAAACTAACAGAAGAGATTATGTTAGCAATGGCTTCCAGGGCCTTCAGCTAACTTTGTATGCACCTTTTACTGTATTAAAGAAAAAACTAGTATGAGGAGAATGCTTAAATTTTTAATAATACTATATACTCGTATGTGCAAAGTCATAAACTTTAACTGAAAGTTATTTCTACTGCACATATTTTACTAAAACTTGCTCAAAGTTTGAAATTAAACTTATGCATGTAAGTGACTTTACCACAAATATCAATTTTACTAAATTTAGTTATACCTTTTAACTCGTATATATGATCAAATGGTCACTCATTATAATACAAGTGTGTTCTCGAATAAAATTATTAAAGTAACTACCGAAGTAGTGGCTGCTCCAACTGATTATACATTTATGTATGTATGTACGTGTAGATGAATCTACCTGCCACCAATTTGTGAATACAAACGTTAGACTCCAATATGAGTTTGCATATTCACATAACCGGAAATTAATTTCGGCCATGTTTGTGTGCTAACAGTATGGTCGGTCTGGGGAGCAAACGAAATTGCAATCAATGCTGATGTCCTGCAACTCGAATTCAATTCGCAGGACGCTGCACTTGCTGTCTTTTTTTGATTACTTTCTTGACCAGCCACATGAATCTGTGGTCAGGTCATGTCAAGCAGAAACTGTTCATGTTCAGTCTTGTCGCGACATCAATGCATGCAGTCTGCCACCCAGCCCCATCCCCTCCCCATCCCCTCCCCATCCGCTCCCAAACCACCAACTCGGCCATGCAGGAACTGCCATATTGGTTGCCAACGACTGTCGCACATGCAGGTGGCAATCCCCAGCCAATAATCCACCATCCAGAAGCAACAACTGTGTGCAGGTGACAGCTGCCATGAGAGTCCTCTGCGTTGCTCCAGCGACAACATAATGCAGACACACATACCAAGCCCGCTGTTCGAGCTTTCCCTGCCCTGCCCCGCCCCGCCCCCATCGAATGCGGCGCGAGTGCATCTGAGTATGGCACCACATCATCATCCCTGCCTTTGAGCCACAAAAGCCAAGCCGGCGCCTTTGGCGCTGACACAGCTCCCTGCAGCCCATGCTGCTGGCAGGCAGACAATAACAACCAACATTGACAATCGAGAACAACGAACGCGCTGTCGGGGCGTGAGGAACTTGTTAAGCCCTTTCAACTTTTATTTGAGGTGATTACTTTGATGTCCAATTCGTGCTGACTTTGGATGTTGAGCGTTGGAGCCTATAAGTTGTACATATAGATCAAATATTTCCCCGTTTGTTATTTGCCAGCTAGCCTGTTACCAGTTCTATTTCTGCCAGCAAGGTAATTAATCGATTTTCAGCAATTATACTATCTAATAAATAAAAGTTGTGTTGCATTCCCATTCGTTAGGGAGTACATCAAAAATTATATATGTATACTTGTAAACTATTGTAGAAGTATCAGAAGTAATCAGAAGTCCATCAAACTTAATCTAAAATCAATTAGTTGGCACACAATTAGTTGGCTCAAATTCTATAAGTAGGAGCAAGTATCCTCTTTGTAAGGCATTGTTAGTGCCACAGTCAGTATGCCCTTCTGCAAAGGGCATAATGATTTGCAGTTGGTCTCGAACGCGATTCTGTCCTTCTGGCTGCCTTGCCGAGCCCACCAAGCTGCGGGCACGTGCCGCGGCGACATCTGCTCGTTACAGCTGATAAGCGGTAACCATAGCCCGAGCTGCAGGTACGTATAGAGCCGCAACGCATTGCAAGGAATTTAAGGGCTCACATGTTGCTGTTTCTTAAATTTGCTGGTAAGCTATGGATATATTTAGCATTGGTCAATGGCTTAGTCGCCCTATGGCGACGGCGCCTCGCAAATTGCCGACGTCCTTTCACTTCCCACGTAGCATTGGCCTCAACAATTTCCACTAGACTAGAGCGAACTGGTGTCTTTCGACGGCATTGTTACCTTTTGCGTCAGTCTGGCTCTGGCATCGTGTCCAGACATTACTGTCGTCTTTTGTCCTCGTCGCCAGTTCATAGCTCGCCGGTCATCAGAATACTTGTAGCCTGCTGTGTTTGCTGGCTGTCTGTCATCATCGTAACCGTCGCCACCGCCTTCACCGCCTTATCAAAAATTTGCATGCAAATGTTTGGCTGTGCATTGTGAGCACATCTAGCTTTTGTTCTGTGGTTCCACCGATGACTCAATCTGAACCGTGCGGCCTCTATAAAGCAAGCATTGAACTCGCGCGGCTCATCAGTCAAATGGCCCACAAATACTGCATTTGCCTCTGCCTTTGTCCACATTTCGACATTATCTTCATGAGTATGAACATTCTCATACCTACATACTTGTATGCGAACATCTAGTGTGAATAGACGACTTGAATTTACAGGTTGTTTCTTATTTGTTGATCTTGAACATCTTAATTGCGTCATGGCCGTTGTCGCTGTGGTGGGGAGGCAGCGACTTCTTATCGCTAGGGTCCACATACGTTTCGCATTTGTGGGTTGAGCAAACACAGAAATCTGAAATGGAATTAGCAGAGCAATGAGATCATGATCATGAAAGAGAGTCGTTTGTGGATGCACTTTCTTTAACCTTTTTCCTATTCGAATGCTGAGTACATGGGTTTTTAACCCATAGTTGATGAAGAGGCAACTGGAAGAAAATCAGTGCAAATTTTATTGCCTCCTTACCTCTAGTATCTATTACAAAGGTGTGTACATACAGTCATGGACCGCGAGATACATATCCTATCGCTTCTATCTCACACCTCATTTGAATGCACTTCTAACATACTCTATCTATTATTATTGCTCTTTCCATGGCCACCATTCGCGACTATAATTTTCTTACCATTCAATATGGTTTCCATATACTATTTATATGTATGTATATGTATGTATGTAAGTATGACATATATGGTGACCTATCATTTCGATTTCAACATAATATCTGCATCTGTCGAAAAGAAGCCCAAGTGAAAAATCCGGACAATGTGGCCCCACTTCGTCATGTTGATTATATATTTATTGTATTTGGTGAACCAAGCTTCTTTGCGGGTCTCAGTGCATGACATAAAAACATATTGTGGCTATATTAGTTTCAATTTGAAACTTGTAATTAAAATGGTTCTATTTCGAAGAAGAATCTGCTTAGACACATACAGCCCATATGTTTAATACGTACGAATTTTTAAGAGATAAAATAAAAATGATGATAAAATGTTTTGCTGCAATAAAATTAATTTAACAAATGAAAATCCTGATTTTTCAATTTAGGACGACGCTTTTCTTCACATCATAGCCTAAGGATGTACTTACGTTCTATGAAATAATTCATCCAACTTGCCCTTCGAGAGGCATAAAGCAGCATTACGAGTATTAATTATGGCAGAGCTCTAATTGCAATCCAACTACGCTATGCACTAGGTATTCTGGCTATGACCCATCTCCGAGCACCGTTTATGCGGGTCACATGGCAGTGACCTTCCCCTCCCCCTTGCCTCACCCAAACACCTATAGTTCACTTGGTGTGCCGCAAGCCAGCGGCAAGTGCATTGCCACCCATAAAGTACAAGATTGTGACGACAATGCCAAAGCAAAGCAAAGCAAAGCCAAGCAAAGCAAAGTGAAGCGAAGCACAAAGGCCTTCAATCTAGCCGGCAGCCCCAAAATGAAGAGCCCCCAGTACCCTACCCCATCCTCTAACGGCATTAGAAAATGCGCCGGCATGTGACGACGAGGGCGGCACATGCAACACCGCGCTAAAAATAACAGAAGCCACTGCCAGGCAAATGCAGAGCGGGTTGCGGCAAAGCCGTCTCCGGCTACTTGTGGGGGGTGCCTCGGTCCCTTCGGTGCAGTCGAAGCAGTCGAGGCAACGTGCACGTGACGGCTGCCAGAACAGCCGCGAAATTTGTGAAGAGGCCACCATTCATGACTTAGCGAAAGCACTCGCGACCACAAAATCGTTCTTAGCCAGAATATTTGTGGAGTAACAACACCACATTTATGTTGCTGGTTATTTCTATACTATATACAGTATATAATAGTACTTATATTTAGTACTTAGTACTTATACTTATAAGCTCAGCTAAGCTGCTTAAAATTTTAAAAAAATTGTGTAGACAAACGGTTTACGAAATAGTTCTCTTTGGAGATTATAAACTGTGGACTACTATTCTCCACCAACATTTTTTTACAACAATAGCAACAAGCTACTGAAAAGGACAGTAAGTCTACATCGTCATGTCTAAAAACATCGTATCTATTATCTATCTACGAATACATATGTATGTAACTAGCTCACAATACAAGAAAACCATAGCTTACCTGGTTGGTCTCTGGCTGCCCATGCCAGGAAGTTGATTTTTTAAGGTCCTTCTAAAAGTTGAATTTTCGATTTTCATTTCACTACAAAGTATAGTTAATGTCTTGTCTGGTCTGTCTTTTTCAGCACAGAATGCATTTATGCTGATTGCCCCAAAAACTTATTTAGTTAACTTTTAGAACATGGAAAACAAGAATTAAATAAATATACATGTATATATAAATCCCCCGTAACGTGCGCGATTCTTTAACATGCTTTGTTTTAACATATGTATGTACACATACACTACTACTACTAAGTATACCCCGAAGTTAACCTTTTAAGCGACGAGGCTTCTTTAGTCGAAATCTTCGAAATTCTTTATTCTACATTGACGACGCCTTTGATGTTTCCAACTTTCAACCAGCGCGCTGGAGTGGCAGTTCCACATTCAATCTCACTTTCAGCGAGAGTTCCACATTCAATCTCACTTTCAGCTTGAGAGCGCATGTGCCTACCACCGTGCTCTCTGTCACTGTCTCTCTCTCCCTCTTTATGTCTCTCAATTCAGTCGCTTGCCGCCTGCTGTTAGCGTTGGGCGAACGAGCCGAATCAGTCGTATCTGAAACGAGTTGGATAACAGGTCCGATCCGGTGGCGTTCCACTCGCTGCGTATCGCTACCCCACACTGCGACTCAGCGTGTGCGTTCAATTGGGTTCCGTTTGTCGTCGCAGTCGCGTTTTTTGTGCGTGTGAAATGAAACTTTAAAAAACGTAGGAAAATACGATAAATAAATGAGTAAAATAGCCAAAAGTAGCCGGAAAGGAATATAGCCAATTTATTGAGCTGTGGCTTCGTGAAGTGGTCATTGGCGTTGGCAGCTAAAATCAAATGCAAATGAGCGCGGCAAATAAATGCAAATAAAAAGTTAAATATATACACGTTGTCTGTATGCAATATAAATGAAAAACAAATTGCAGTCACGCAGCTTGAAAACAGTTTCGCAAAATAATTACACCTCCGCTACAAAATCCTAGCGCATTCGCAAAAACAACCCACAAAAATAGGTACATAAATATATAAGAATCATACAAGTATATAATAAATAAGAGTATTGTAAGCGCATTTAGTTGAAGTAGCAAAACAACAACATAGCATACAAAATACAAGAATATATTACCCACATGCAAACGAGCAATTGTTGGTATAAACACACGACAACAAAAAATTGTTTTCTTGTTTATTTATAATTGTCTCGGTGTGTGTGAGTTCGCCTGAGCGTGTGCTTGTGCTTGTGCGCCCGCGCTAGAAACAGCTGTTTGTGTGCTCTGCACGAGCGCAGCAGCAGCAGCAGCAGCAACAAAAGCAACAACAACAAGAGCAGCGAAGCAGCACAACTACAGCAACAACAGACAGCAGCAGCAGACGTCTCTGACCTTAGCGAGACAACGGCAATAAAAATATTAAAATTCAAGCCGAAGCGCCGATATTTAGCAGCACTCACTAAAAGGTAAGTCACACACCTGCAATTTACATCTATTGAAGTTAGTAAACAACTTTCACATCGGGCCCGATTAGCAGCTAAACGGCTACCTACACATGCTATATAACAGATATGTGCAAAAAGTTTTTAAACGCTCCGAGTAATGAGAATATTTGAATGTTTACTAATTCCATGTTCTTTGCAAAATCCAACAGTAATAAAATTAGGTGCTAATATTTCCAATATCTTAACGCTAATATAACTTTTTTAATTTTTACGGGACATAAACGCCTATTTAGCATCACCAAAGTGGTAATTCCGGCTTTATAATCCCGTACATATGTTTCAACTAGTATACACATGCACATTTAAAAAAAATTTCCACCTTAGGCTTTAACTAATGGGTGATATTTCCGATTTACTCGTAGGTACTGATTAGCGGGCTTGGGTTCTTAATATTTGTAAGCGATTGAGTATATATTAACCTCAATCATCTTAAATGTATGTACATAGATTTTCAATACAAACTAGTTTATTTAATAGGAATGCTTATTTAATATATATTTTAAAGTTAACAAATAATTACAAGAAGTTTAATGCGGCACTTTCACAAACAGCTGAATGGACTACTGCACCAGATCAGTAAAGTGCCAGTAAGGCATACTGCTATATATATACTATATATATTATATTATATTATATTATATTATATTATATTATATTATATTATATTATATTATATTATATTATATTATATTATATTATATTATATTATATTATATTATATTATATTATATTATATTATTTCCGATATTCTACATGACCAAATTAACTAGGTTTTCAGCGGTTATGTGGTGTAACCACAAATTGTAGGCACTCGATGTGATTCAGGGTTCATGAAGCTGCATATATATGTAATAGATGTAAGAGATATGATAGCCATTACATCATTGACAAAAACCAATCCAGTTTAACAAGTAACTGCTTCAAAAGATATAAGCAAGTAAGGAATGCTTGCTCAGAAGTCGAGTGGCTCAACTCTTATATACGCTGTACTTATACAAAAACAAAGAAAAATTTGTTTAATATTTTTACTCAATACATGAAATGTACAATAGTACATATATTAGATTTGCGGGAGGTAAAAAATGTGGCATGCAGAAGGCGTGACAGTCCCCACAAAGTATATATATTAATTCTTGATCAGCATGACAAGGCGAGTACCCTATGTGTGTACGGTATACGAATTTGTTGTATTTTTTTGTATGCATCCCCCCCAATTCTCCCCTATAAAGGGTTTTCGGAAATGCTGTTCGTTTAATCATCGATATCTCCGAGACTATGTGAGCTGGAATCCCATAATTTTAATCCAAGATGCCTTATATGAATACGCAGAAAATAGTGATTTTCCATAGCTCCCTAATTCTTGGAATTTTTCACTCAAATTCTACAAATACCTCCAATTAGTGATTATGATAGGTCAATTCGAAAGGAAGTTATAGCCATAAATGTAATCTCTTAAAATTAAAATTTTGATAAAATAATGCACGCTGCGTGAAATTAATAATTTATGCATTGATCAAATGAAAAAATTCAAGAAATCCAACTCAGTTCCATTTTAAGGCAAAATAGTGCGTCATAATAATAAAGGTGTGATCGACTTCATATTGCGTACACCGTTCAATACACTGAAGGAGACTCGATAAACCAAAAAAGAATATATGTTCTCGATCAGAATGACAAAACGAGTAGATATAACCATGTTCGCCTGATAAGATAATATATGAATAACCAAACTTGGTATTCATATTATCCTAAGGTTTACGCATAGTATAGAACTATGCAAGGGCGTAGTCAGCTTTTACAAAAGGGGGGCCAAAAAATTAAGATTTTAATCAAATAATGCACGATGCATTTAAAAAATATATTATGCATATGATCAATGCAAAACTTCAACAAATCCAACTCAGATCCATCCAGTATGTATGTATTTTTCTGATGTATAAAGGTTATCATTCCATTCGTGCTTTAATTTATTTGTATTGAGCCACCCATCAGGGCTCAAGTTGTTTAATGGAAAAAATATATTAATAGGTATATAGCGGCAACTTCGAATTAAAATTGTATTAAATCAGTTGGCCGGGCAGTGCACTATGAATGAAGTGTATAAGCTAGGATAGATAGAACTGGCTTAACGCCTAAGTGAAGCGTGCAAAATTGACAAAATTCTATTAAATCCAGTGCTCTAACGACTTAATTGTTCATTTAGAAACAATAGCCCGAAATGAAAAGTAAAATCTCTGCTGATTGTATCGATGACAAAGGGCAAACGAGTTTCCCAAGTAGTCTAAGTATACCACAAAACGAAGCGGCTAAGCCACAAAACTAAGTTGGATCTTGAACTGGCAAAGACTTCATGAGCACAATGGACATATGTACAAGTACTTGTACATGTGTATATAAATATGTATGTGCATGAGAACATGCTCGTGCATACGAATGTTGAGCTGTAGGAACAACGAATATGCTGGCGCTTGGTGCTTCTTGGAAAAATCAATAAAAACGCACGCGACCAGTCTGAGTTTCCATGCCCCGCCCACCAACATCATTCCCTTGCCAATAACAATCCTATGCTGTGATTGCTGTTGGACCCATTAACATTTTCTTCTTTTTTTTGCCTTCTTTATCAATCAACAGTTTCCCGAATTCGCTCGCAAAACAAAGAGTACTTTGACATCGGCAGCCATCGACAATTTGGTTTTTAATTATCCGAATGACAGAAATGCGACGAGTTAACAATTCGTACCAAAGAACACTAAGTGCCTTTATCAAGTGCATTTAAAATAAACGACTAGGTTCTCGTCCCTCTCCTCCTCCCTTCCACATATAGACAGTCAGTGTCATCGAAACGAAAAGGAAAAGGGAACATGAAGAGCGCCATCAACAGCAACAGCAACAACAACAACAACAACAATATTTGTCTATTTCAGTTTTAACTTTTTGGCGCTTTGTTGCCGATAACAACAAAAAGCATGCATCGTCCCCACAATTCGTGATTCACGCAGGCGCAGGGAGCGTGAGCCGCTTAGACTAGGGTCGCTCTCAATGCCACATCGACGCTTCGCTCTTCGGCGTCCATTGAATGTGCAGCATGCGAGGCTGCCAGCGCTTTCAACCAAAATTACAGCGTTGTTGTTTTTGCTCTTATATTTGTCATGACTGTTGTTGCTGTTGTTTTTGTTATTGTTGCTTCATTGTTGTGCCGTTTTTTGGCAAGCGAACTGTGTCGCTTGTATGTATCTTTAGGTTGCACTCAGGCAAAAGCAAAAGCAAAAGCAGAGGCAGCTGGCAATCTGATGGAGCTCTGAGGCGCTCGGCTAGCAATTGCACTAACAAATGCGCGAAAATTCAAAGCACGAAATACTAAGAAGGCGAGATGAATACTGAGATGAAAAACGAGTTTTTCATGAACCAAAAAACGTTGCTAACAATGCGTAGAAAAGTGCATTGCTGAGGCCGTGATATACATACGTGTAAGTGAATCAAACGATTTATTGCAAAATTAAATGGTAATCTTCAAGTATATGTAACTCTGTAGCACTGTGTATGGCGCGTGTCTTTGTATACAAACATACACATTTTCCCATTTCAACATACATATGTACTCGTACATATGTATGTATGCCAAATATTCCTGAAAGCAATCATAGATAAAACGTAGCTGAAAAGTGAAAGTTGCTGCAACAAATTTGACGACAGACAAACTTTTAAATTGTGTGGAGCTTGAGGCAACTTACGGCGGCAAGAATGAAATTAAAAATCGCAGATAGGATGGAACACTTCAGCCCACAGTATCGATCGTCAATAGAGAGTGCCAGCCGAAAATCAAAGAAATTTAAATTAAATGTAAAATGTAGAAGTGTATGAATAGTTTTTATAAATACCCGGCCTTACAGCTTTTATTAAATAAATTTTTGTATTTTTTATATCGAAGTCGGAAGCGAAATCAAAAACAAAAATGAACCGCTAGAAGTGAGATGCGGAACCAATTTACATTCATTAATTGCCGGAACCGGTTTGAATAATTTTAAAACAACAATTTCATATTGATAATATAAATTCTATGAAGTTTGAAAAACTGTGAAATTACCCTAAATATTATCCAAATATTGTTAAAAAAAATGTCCATAACTTTTATATTTGTTTACCGATTTGTTTCAATATAAATAAAGCAACACAGTCTAAGCAGAGATATCCACATTTCTGAAAAGTCAAAGTGACTTTTAGACAATTTTACACTAAAAGAAAGAGGCCTAGCAGACCGAACAAAGTATGTATCACATTATGGGTACAAAGTATAGTTGGTAATCGTATTCCCCTAAAAGCTCAAGTTTGTGTTTCAGCATCGCTCATTCCCCTTCTATTAGTGATTTTACCATAGCTCTCGTATAATAGCTTTAATTTCTTAACTATTTTTATTAATATATTTGATAGGTTTTCAGTTCATTTATTTAGTCTTTGTACCATTTCACCACAATCCTTCACTAAAATCAACGGAATCTAACACTTGTGCTGAAACTACTGACCTATTCAGTTTCATATCGGTATCCGTTCACAGAACGGGAAGTGTGTAGTCAGTTCCGCTCAGCTTACATACACTGATTAATTCTAAGCCAGGGCCCATTAGCCTGCGCTCAGTAAGTTTCCCCGATTTATCAGTAGTGCATATTGCTTATTGGCAAATGTGGTTCGCATACTTGTAGATATGCATGCATAATGTTTCCATTCAATATCTAGGGCGGATATGTTTGTCAATTTAGTTATGGGTAATGCATCGCGTCTTATGGTTATCTTTGGAATATAGCGCAGACGTCGGGCACTTCAGACTGTGCATAGGACAGCGCTAAACAAGACGACAGAGGACTTAGCTTCAAGTAGGCTAACTGAGAGCGAGCAACGCATGCGGAAAAGCAAACAAACTGGCAACAGCAACAGCAACAAAGAAAAGCGTGCACGAGTAAAAGTGAAAAGCCAATGCAGAAAAAAGCTTCCGCATCGTTTCCATTGTGTTTGGCTTTATTTATCAATTGCCTGAGACTTTTGCTCAAACGAAATCAGTTTGTTTTTTTCTTTTTTTAATATTTTTGTTGCTGCAGTTATATTATCGTAAAAATTAAAACAATACAAACAACAATTAATATTGTGGCAGATGGTTTGCAAATTTACACAATTCTCTCGCTCCCGTTGTAATTGTTTTTACTTTATCCATAATGCCATAATCTTCTTGTTCGATGGGGCGATGGGCGCAAGGGTGGGAATGGGCGTCTCAGCCTGTCTCTGTCCCGCTTCATTATGGCCAAGTGCATTGAACCCGCAGTTGCAATTATCTGGGTACTAAGTATTTAATCGTCATAGCTCTCGTCGACGCGTCGTCGACGTCCGTCCAACGTTGCGTGCTAAACTTTAAACAACCAGACGCCCGACGCCCACACGCAAGCAGCGAGACAGATAAACACACAGACCCTTACATATATTCCTATAGCATAGACTAGCTAGACATGGCTGGTCTTAGCCATGTGCAATGTAAATTGTTAATTTCGTAAGCAAATGGTGCCGGCTACTTTCCCACTTTTTCGCACAACTTAACAGCATTTAACGGCTTCGGCCTTATGTTGTGCTACATGCTCGAACGGGGGAGTCATGTCAACTGAACAACAACAAATATATAATTACTCTTCGTTTGTGCATCACTATTCATATAGGATTCATAAGGAACATATTGCAATTGGGAATTTAAATTTACTTTGGTAAGATAAGCTATTGGTATATATTAATTAATTAATGAAATCAACTTAAGAACCGGCTCACCTTCCACATATTATTGCCTAACAAATACTGCGAGCACTCACCCATATGGACAACTATTGATGTCCTAATAAAACGATCAATATCGTTTTGTCTCTCTCGCTTATCAAAATAATCAATATTTTAAATCAATATCAATACTTGGTTAGCTACATGCACGTACATTTTATTTATTTATTATATTTATAAATGCAATAAATGCCAAAGTCGAGTAGATGACTTTAGAATTCAATTCAATATATTCTAAACGTCGGGAAGTGAAAAAATTATACTACTTATTAAAATTAATTAGATAACCAAGCCAAGAACAAATGACTATTTAAGTTTTGTCCACACATGCATAACAAAAGAATATGAATACACGAATGTAAATGAATTGTTTTAAATGTACCAAAACTACCAAAGCTAACAATATTTATTAGCCTTGTTCATTTTAATGTGATTTATTGATAATTTGTGGTAGTAACTCTGCAAGAAAGCTTAACCTCAACTATAATTTTGACACTAACACAAACTTACAAGTAAAGTAGAATAAAAATGTAACTCAGATAATTATCTTTACTTTTTTAAAGTGCGGCTTTTCGGAAGAAAATGCTAAGCATATTTTTAGCTTAGCATTTCATTATTAGCTTCTGCGGACTCTGTTTTCTGGGCCCACACCAGCGTGCTCTGTAATTAGTAACAGATGAGCATTTGCCATGATCTGCATTAAGCATGCAAAGTGGGGGACATCCGGGTCGAGATGCAGGGCAGGGGCGAGCAGCATTTATGTTAAAGCTTCCAAGCTTCGTGTCTGGCAAATTTGATTTAAATGTTTAATCGCATGAAAAGATTGTGTTGCCGTGCAGGGAAAGTCCTGTGTTTGTTGGCTACATATATGTACAAGTATACACGTACCCGTGCAGTTTAATCAGAGTATGCGTGTTTGTGAGCATTTCACATTACATCACATGTTTCCATGCACACACATGCACACACACACACACACACATATGTGCATATGTTTGCACATATTTACTTAATTACATTAATCGCCTTGTCGTACAGTCTGAACGAGTATGTATACGTACTTGTAATTGGTTTTGCGCACTCGAAGCATAAACGAACTCACACTCAGACTTACCTACATACAGGTTTATTCAGAACCCACACGTAAATGGGTTGAGAGACAAATTTGAACAACTTTAACATAGCATTTCAATTTAATCTTCATATTCCAGAGGTTGGGTTTGGTCCTGGGCGGTTTTACGTTCTGGCCAGCCACAGATGAATTGTTAAGTTGGCTTCCAAATCGGCTCTCGTATGATAAACGTATTACGTGTGTGCTACGGTGTGTTTCAAATTCAATCGAACCGATAAAGGTTGCAACTGTGGCAAAAGGCAGAACAATTTTGAATGCATAGAAGATCTAGACGTGTTGTTTTAGTTATATAATAGACCAAGCCTAATATAAGTAAATGGAACTTCCGCCTATGAAAGCAGAATTAATATTTAGTTGAAAAGCTAATATCCAACCATTGTTATTGCTACCTTTGGTGAGATATCTAGTAGTGTTTAGTTGAACGGTTTATTGCCAACCATTGTTATACCTTTGGTGAGAAATTTGTTGTTGAAGTGCCACCATGAAAATCTTTTTCATTATCTTAGTGCTACTTATTTCGGGTAAGAAACCTCAAGCAAGAGAAAACCCCATTCTCCTCATCCATTCATATGAACACACCCTTTGTGTAGTTTCAGTTACTGTTCAGGTTAGCCATCAGTTCCATCAAAAGGACTCTGAAGATGACAACGCTGTATCATTCTTTCTATATACCCACTGGAATATAAATTATGCCCAGCAGATCGGGCCCATCGGAGCCTCCATAGCAGAATCACACTTTCGAAGGGCATTTCCAACCGTTTTTGTTATTCATGGAAGGAGACAGGGCCTTACTAGCAAGATGAACTCGAAAATTGCAAGAGCGTTGTTGTCCTCAAGTCATTACAATATAATAATTGTGGATTGGCAGGAAATGTCCGTGTTAGATTATGCGTTGGCTGCGGCGGCCGTCCCCAAAGTAGGAGATAAGGTGGGAAAATTCATCAATCACTTGAGTAGGTACCATGGCCTTTTCTTGTCCCGCTTGACTATTGTTGGTTTTGATCTGGGCGCCCATGTTGCGGGCTTTGCTGGTAAGACCGTTGGTTCAGGAGAGATTGGCTCTATCATCGCGTTGGATGCTGCGTTACTTCTATTCAATGTATACCCTCCTCATAAACGCCTAGACTCCAGCGATGCCAGATATGTGGAGGCCATTCACACTAATGCTGGTGGTGAGGGTTTCCTGGTGCCAATAGGTCACGCGGACTTTTATCCAAACGGAGGTATCATTCAGCCGGGTTGCCCAACCACCAAATGCAATCATAACCGTAGCATCGACTACTATGTGGAAGCTCTTAAGTACAATAATTTTGGCTCAATCACATGCAAGGACTATATAGCTGCCACCATAAATGCTTGTGGAAATACTTTGAGCTCTGTACGCATGGGCAATATAGCTAATAGTATGCGGAATAAAGGAATTTATTATGTACCTGTGAAAAAAGAGCCTCCATATGGTACAATATCCGCTATTTTTAATTCATTTTAAGCCGGATGCTTTGTTTTTGATAAAAGCAGAAACACAATTGTATTCGTGCAGAAAAATAATAAAATTTCATGAACATTTATTGCTTACCCATGATTTTTCTAAATTTAATCATTAGTTTCCTAGCAAAAAGTGCATATTACTCAAACTGCGATTCAATTTTATTATCATTATATTATCAATTGTACCAAAAAAAAACTTATTAATCATAAGAATCTGTTTAATTTTCCAACATTGAATGACAGTTTTAGTTTTAATATCTAACATGCACTTATTTGCTAGGAAACGAATGAGTAAATTGAATTATGTATGTATGGCATGTCTTTATCGATTCTTCTCGTGATGTTAACCAACAATATAGGGTCTGCTACACTTCTTTTTTTTCAAATACTATACATATATTCGTATTAAGCATGACGAGACTAATCGCCATGTCCGAGCCCCCAACTCTCTGGATGAACGCCAAACTTGGTATTTAGACTCTTTTAAAATCCAGACGAGCTTATTTTTATATTTTTTTAAATCCGTGAAAGTCTAAAGTTTGTTTGAAAGCGGAACATTATAGTATATCGTAGAGCTGGGTCGACTACTCACGATACTATCGATATATCGACTTTTTGTGTGAGCGTTATACTATCGATGTTTCGGTTCCGATAGTAAACGATAGTGGCCCGCATTTTCTACATTTTCACATCACTGTTTTTGGTGCATTGGGAACACGCGTTTAAATTAATTGGTGTTGGCGGCTTCTAATTTTGTAAATATGGACAAATTTTTGCAAAACGCAAGTTTCAAGGGTAGGTGCAATTATTTATTTAACGCTATGTGCAAATATTCATTATAGTTTTGTTCGCAAGCAGATCCCAGCATGAACAATAAGGGAGATTCTCAATCAATTAAGAAGCCCCGAATTGGCAAATCTAAGGTTTGGGGTCATTTCGAAAGGTCGAAAGATGGTAAGACGGCCAGATGTATCCACTGTTCGAATGTTTATAAAACAAGTGGCAATACGTCAAATTTATTCAACCACATTAAGAGAGTGCACCCAGGCCTTTCATTATACGAATTACCAGAAGGCCCCAGGACGATTGTTCCATTTCTGACGAACAATTACGATTCGTCTTCTAAAAGAAAGTATTGGAAGTATTTTTATTTGAAAACAAATTACATTAGTTACATTAGTAATAATGCGACTAATGACTGTGAAATGAACCGTTCCTTAGTTTAAATAATAAACAGAATTTCAAATGTTAAAAAAAACGATACTATCGATAGTATCGAACTTTTTGTTGAAAAACATCGAGATTATCGAATGTCTCAACTATCGATAGTTTCCCAGCTCTAGTATATCGTATGGAAAATATCAGTTGAAAGAACCGATAAAAAATCGTTCTTGCACGACTTTTTAATTTGATTTCTTTTCTTTTTACACACTAGAATAGTGAGCTGCCGCCGGTTTATTTTTAGCTTTCTAAGATATATTCACCTAGCTCTCGCTTAACACAACCTGTTTTAGTACGAACTCGGTCTAACACGATTAAGAATATGCTGGTTTTTTTTACAGGCTGAAAACCTCGTTCTTATACTATAGAAGTTAAACATATTTAAAAAAGAAGCGTATTTCTTTAACTAACCTTTGTTGTTGGAATATGCCCAGGTCAGGCTATTAACACTAGCTGAATCTGAATGTTAAAATAATCCTAATGTTAAAATAAAAGTTTACACTTTCAAAACATACTACTATGAGTATAGCTATAAAACTCTAATTGACTCTATCGATGTAATCAGTACTGGGAGGAAATTTGCCTTGAATTGTTTATTGTATCTATAAAAGAGCTCAAGGGGATAATATTGAATGGATATTGGAAGAAATTATGACTAGCGATTACCACAAAGAAATAATGTTTAGCACAAAAATGGCTTATAAATAAATTATATGTATGCCAATGGCACCAAATGGTTCTTAAATTTCTTATTAAGCAGCTTCAACATTTTTTACGCTTCAAAATATTTTCCTTTTTTATAAGATCAAGATCAATCTGTTAATGATAAATATTCAACACTTGGAGTAACTTTTTGTTTATTTTGAAAATGTTTAGACCGCAAAAACAGCGGAAATTTAAACGGCAAAACATTTTTTGTGTGTATGTCGAAATCTAGAAACATAACCCCTTATTTTGTATGGAGTCCATGTCTCGCTTAGCACGAGGTTTTCTAGGAACACAGCCCCCGTGTTAAGCGAGGGCTAGGTGTACTACATGTGTATGTGCAGGAGTTGAACCACTTTCTGTACGCGACAAATGGCAAGTGAAAACGTTTGACAAACAATAATTGTTAGCCACCAGTAGGGTATGCTGTCATGTGCCCCACAAATCGGATATGCTGACGTCAAAGGCGGTGAAAGGTGCACAACAAATGAACACACTTGCAGGCACCGATACGTACTTGTAGTCCGATTTCCAGTTGCTGTTCAGTTTACAAGTATAAACTACTCTAAGGCAGCTGCTGAGCCAGTAAAGACTTCCTCATACGACTGGGCCACGTGCCTGTTATAAAAACCTGATATATCCGCTGTTCAGATGGCAATGTCATTGTTATTATCATCGCAGTCGACAACTTCATCATCAAGCAAAGTTCTGGCATTTAATTTTCACATCAATTAATAACAATATACTATATAAACAATATATATAATTAATATAGTATTCACTAATTATGCATGCACTTTAGTTAAGAAGCGCGTAGCCTGAGTTTGGGATTCCAATTGTGCGTTAAGTGAAAAAGTTTGAAACCGAATCATTCAAACCAAATCAAGCTACGACTGGTTCATTCTAATAACCGGCTCAAAATAAATTGAAATTGTTTATTGAATTAATTTATTAATCACCGGGCCGGAACGTCAGCGACTCGCATAGCTTTGAATGCCGTGCGCTTGCTTTGTTTATTGCTTTGTAACCATTCTGATTGAACGAATCAATTTATTTAATTTATATCTGTATTGAATTGAGTTTTTCAATCAAACTTAAACTTGATGCTTAAACTATTCAACAGTCTAATCTAACAACAAACAATATTTAATAGCTCATAAAATGCCTTATTTGGTTTTAGTAGATGCCCTTGTTAAAGTTTTCCGCCGTTTCTAATTTGCTTTGTTTGCTGTTGGGCTCTTTAGTGCAACACTGATACCCTTCACATTGTCAGAGATAACACTGATCAAAGGTTCCAACTGACCATTATAATTATAGACCATAGCTCCCCTTTGATGCGTGATGCCCAATGGGCTTTATGATATCATTCATGAACTAAGTCAAAGGTCTTTGGGTTATGGCGAGTGACTGCACTTAAATACTTGTTAATTTCATAACCGGTTTTAGTTTTTGGCTTTTATGACTTACTTTGCTGCAACCTTCAGACTGAGGCAACCAGCCTACAACAGGCTTGCGGCTTATTAGCTTAATCGAAAGATGTACTTATAATTGTATATTAAAAGCACAGTTGTCATATGAATGGATGACCAAATAAAAAATCGGAAAAACGCTTTATAATACAAAATTTAATAGCACTGACATAGTACACAGTATTAAGTTCGCAATTTATTGTGATAAAGCTCACTAAATTGAATATAGCTTCCACACATAAATGAAACTTTGTTTTTCTATTGAAATATCAATAAATATATAGAATTATTTGTATAATGAAAGTATATAATATATTCTCATTTTCTATATTTCTTTAACAATTTAAAATGCTCAGCAATTAGCTCAGTTGCAACTTTCGACTTCTAATTTTCGTTAATATACTCGAATTATCTGTGAGTTTCGCTTAATATTTGCAGTCTGTGCAAATTGTATGTTTTAATGCCATGGCACTGTTATGGCTTCGATACCCATTTAATGTTTCTAGCCACCACTCCAAGTGAAATCGCAATGAAAATGGAACCACTTATAATCTCATGCGACACACTACCTATAATTGTTGCTCGGCTCAACGTGCAATGCTAATCGTTGAGGAAAATCGCCAACGCGCTTTCTCAATCGACTTTCAAACGGAATTTTTAGTGCTCTGCGGCATGAACGAGAAGTAAATGTATATAATGATGATGATGATGATGGTGGCGAGCTTGGGGACTGCTTATTGCTCCATTAGCGTACATAGGTGGGTGGAAATAAAAATATGTGAATCAGTAAATACTTGTACTCGTATTATGGCTAACTGTAAAAGACAAATGCTTTGCCATTAAAATTAAGTACGCTTCGTTAACTGGCGACTGCGCCAGGCGAACGAAATTGGGTCAAAAACATGCCGAACCGCACGTTTTGTAACAAACAACGACAAATTAAGCAACAACAACAACAGCAACAACAACGGCAGTAACGAATTTGCGAATGAATCATTTCGGAGCAGAGCTTCAAGTGCGCCCACGTCCATGACTATATTAGGGGGAGGATGGAGCGGATGGAGTAGATGAGGTGGCAGAAGCTGGCAGTGAGTGAAGTGTAAATTATGTTAATTGGTAAGCATTTATGGCATAATTAAGCCAGAGACATCCGAAGCAGAAACGGAAAGAGCGACGTCTTGTCTCATTAAATAACAGTTAAGTCAACGCCAATTTTCTGGCAAACGAAAGTAAAATATGTCTTGTTCATTGCATTGGCAGCTGGCCGAAGCTGTTTGTATTGAAGAGTGCCAGGAGAAAAGAATCGATTAACTAAAGGCTAATCATTTGTTAGCAGCAGCAGATGAAGGTACGCTGAAAATAAAGAATAAAAATCCAAAAAAAAAAAAAAAAACGCAACTAAGCAGTGAAGTGAAAGTAAAGAAGCTTGAGGAATGACTTGTTAAATTTCTCCATTTCGCATTGAAACTTATTCGTACTACTCGTAACGATTCGCAGCACCAAAGGTCAATATTCATTTGAATAATTAATAAAACAGGGAACTAAAAATCATTTACTTGCTGTACAATCGAACGTGACATTTTTAAAGCTTAATCACCATTATCTGTCATAGCCACGTGAGCTCATCACCCGGAGCTGGAAGCACATGTTTCCACAACAAATTTGTGAATTTGGTAGATGGCTCGAGCTGTG